TGAGGAACCAGAGGGTAATGATGAATAGCCAGGGTATTGATGTCCAAATGGCTTCACAGGAAGGAGCTCTCGCTATGGCACAAGCTGCTCAAGTCGCAGCGGCACAGGCAGCTGGTATGGGCGGAGTCCATAACGGAGGCCCTCACCCTGGACCCACTATCAAGTATGTCACTTGTTTTTGAGTCTACTTTTAATCGCATGTTTTTAATTTAAAGTATTCGACGATCTCAATGTTTGCTTTACTTTATATATTCAATTACTATTATTTTATATAATTATTCTTTATTTAATTTGTACATGTAGTTGCGCACATTAAAGATTCCTTACTAAATGTCCTTGTTTTGTTCTTCTCCTTTTTTAATAGTAACATGATTCCTCCGCAGTGGGCTGGTCCTAATCCGTCTCCTCCAATAATACATCAACACGTCAATACTCCACCCCCTGCTCCGCCCATTCATCATGACCTCCCTCCCACGCAACAGTCCTTCAGTGTCGTTGCTACGGTAGTAGGCAACGTTAGTGCTCCATCCACTCAACCAATCACCAGTATGACCTCGGCTGATGTTAATTCGAACTCAATACGTCCGCCGTCCAATGGCCAGTTACCTCACCAGTTGGTGGGCGGTCCCAATGATCATTCTGCCGCTGCCGCCGCCGCTGCTGCTGCCCTTGCGGCCGCTGCTGCTACAGCGACGGCTACAGCGACTGTAACGGCTCAACTCAAGAACGAGCATTTACCAGCCATGCCTCAGGGTTCTCCTGCTCAATACTCCTCTCCTCCTAATTCTACTAGTCATTTCTCGCATGCTAAAGCCCCGCCTAGTTCGTTGCCTCACACGCCTACTTTATCGGCCACGCCTCCTTTTCCTGCTCTCCCCAAAAGCATCAATCCCGGGCCCGGAAGACCGGCCACTCCTACTGCAGTTAGAACGCCGACGAGTGTGATGACGCCAACTGAGCCAAACTTTAACAAAGACCCACATGTTTTTAATCATGGAGGCGTGGCTAATCCGATCCTATCGAACCCCTTGAGTCCACTCGTACAACCGAAGCAGGCTTATTCTACCCCGCCTCCTCCTCAGTCTCAAGGGGCGTGGCCTCAAGCATCTCCACAGCAACAGCCGATGCAGTATCAGCAGTACTCACCACACCCCCAGAATACTCCTCCTCCTCGGCAGCAGCAGCAGCAACAACAGATGCAGTTTCAGCAGTATCCTTCAGGGGGTGTGGCTAGTTATCCTCCTAATTATCCCAACAGTA